AAGGTACTTTTCAAATTACTTTCTTGTTGTTTATCTATGTGCATTGATAATATGATTGCTTTGGCTCCATCACTGTCTTAAGGCTCTAACATGCAGTGTCAGGACTTGATTACCTTGGTGAAATCCTGTGGAATTACCGTAAGAAACTAATCCTGGATCTGGAGTAGCATACAGATACAGCCTCTGTTTTGCCTTTTCGATCACACAGAATAACTTTTTTATGTCATAGCTCTCCATAGGCCAAAGATGCTTTCACACTGAATATGCTCTCAGAGAGTCAAAATCTGATCTCTGATTCTGCCACTGGGTTCTTGAGTAGCCTTGTCATGTTGTTACCACTTGATGTTCCATGCTCTTCGTTCAAAATAGGGGTCAACATTTCTGGTTTCCTCCAGTATTTTGCCTATTTAGATTAGAAGCATCTGTAGAGGACTGTATTAGATGTTTGGATGGACCCTAACACTGATGTCTTGATCTTCCTGGAAGTTTTTATGTTGAGCCATAATAAGAGCAATTATGGTAATGAAAAAATGTTTACTGGATTCCTAATTGAATTGCTGCCTCAGCCATGTACAGCACTCACAGTCAAGCAAAAAAAACCAAAAAACCTGTAGAAGTTATCCCAACAGTTAGGTTTTTGACCCTTATTTAAATGATGGAAAAATCAAGTTTGAGGTAATTTGTAAAAAGGCATTTCAGATTAATCTTTAAAGATATCAAAAGACAAAAATTTCTAGATGATCAAGTTTGATTGTGTTTCAATATTTCTAGTTATTATGACTGCTTTAATTTTAACTCTGTAAATACTTTGAACATTTCTGCTTCTTTGCAATGTTTGGGTTGTAAAGCAACATACCCGTTCATGAAAGTCTTACATCGTAGGAAAAAAAAAAATATCAGTGTTGAGTGTTATAAGATGGTGTCATTAAGATGTCTTCCAAAATACTTGGTAAACATTACAGTCTTAGTTGATGATTAAGTATCTAATTCCAGAGAAATTGGACAGATTAGCTAGCTGAAAAACTTCATCTGAGGACTAAGGCTTTGAGGTCTGACTCTTGTTGACTGGTTTTCACACTGACAATTTGATAAAATGAAAGAGTTTGCCAATTTTTCACAGGTGGAGAAAATGAGGCCTATGATGTGCAGATGGTTTGTCATTGATTCAGTCACCGGAAAAACCGAGATCATCACTCGGAGGGATTCTTAGCCTGCAGCAGTGCGTTCAGTCCAACACACATGGTTGACATCAGCAACCTGAAATAAATAGTGAGGTGCCACGTAGCACAGAGAACACAACTTCAGAATGGATTTTGCAGAAAAAAATGGTTCTGGCCCTTCGTTCTGCCCACTACTACAGAAGAATACAGGACCACTATTCCTTACAGTGTTTGAACAAGGGATGTTTTCCAGCTCATTTGTCCAGTACTGTGTTAAAGCAGTTACATATGATTACTGTAACTTCCACTATTTCTCCCTTTCTACAGTTCTTCTGTACTTGCATCTGCTTCTTTATTTTTCTTTCTGCTAGCTGAAGACCATGCAAGATAAATTTTGCCTTTCATAAACCAGACATCTCTTCAGTCAAGAGTTTTAGATTCATTCAGATAAAATGTAACTTATGTAATTCTTCTTAACTTGTCTGTTGTTTCCTTGCAGTTTTTTAACCAAAACAAGTCTAAGAGAATTTATTAAACAGGAGAATTCAGGTGCTGGCATCTCAGAAGACTCTATTTTATTCTTTACAAATTCTAATATTTTTGATCCAGAATGGTTGTGATCAGAACACTAACCAGACCTGACCCCCCATGCACAGAGTTGTTCATCCTTGTGATTATCAACAGTTGTTACCCTTAACATCCTGGCTGTGGTCCAGGCTGTACTGTTAATACATTTAACATACAAATTCTGAAATAGCCCCCATCCATCTGGGTACTGTATTCTCTATTGGCTGTCATAATGGTATGTATTGTTGCTATGCATGGTTAAATGTTGAGGGATTTCTCTGCATTTCTCTGGATGTTGCTATACAATAATCATACTCTGACTTATTTGTGCATAAAAGACTTATTTGTGCATAATCTGCTTCTTGGAACTTCAATCCTCCCATGCAAGTTATATTGGTTTTTATTGTTGCTGGTATTTGTCTATAACATGCCATTACAGAAAGCCATGAGACCCCAGCACAGGTGTAAAAATAGCCTTAGAAGCTGAGAGAGAATGAATGTGATGTTTTTAACTTTCTTTTAATAACTTTAATAATTTAATAATTCTTTTAACTTTCAAATTCTAACATGGCAAGTCGAGGTGCTGCGTGCTTCTGAGGACCTTCTTTGTATTGAATGTCTTCCTTATCCCACAATAATTTATTTAGGTGTATTTTTATTTGGCTGTTTGATCCAAGCATCAAAAAAATAAAAGAGTTAATTCTCCTGTCATAGAAAATAATCTAAAATTTTGGGAATATTCATTAAAATATTTAGAGAAAACGACTTGTCAAGAGCACATTGGGTGTTTCGGCTCTCCTTCCAGTACCTACCTGAGCTTGGGGAGAAGCATGTCTCAACCCCCGGGTTGTCTATGGCATTAAATATTTCTTTGAGCAAGGAGAAGACAAGAAGGCATGCCTTCTGGTCCCAGGTCTGATTCTGCTTCCCTTTCCTCAGTTTGTTGTAGTGTTCAATGCAGACCAGCTTATTTTTTTCTACCTTTGAAAGAGCAACTGCAGAAACTTGCTCACCAGTGGCAAGGCCATAGATGTCCCAGAGCTTAGCTGGAGGGGCTGAGCAAGCCTGTTATGTTGCTGGCTGGGAACCAACCAGACTTGACTTGTGTCACAGGTTAAAAAATTCTTTACTGTGTTCAAGGTAGAAGTATGGACATGCACAGTGTTTTTTCAATCTAAAATCTTGGTTGCAAATAGCTTGGAGTGCCTCCTGATACTTGGATCTGTGGTATTTTCTCAGTACAAATCACCAAAGAATTCACAGAAGAGTACCTCAGTTTTCAATTAAATGGTGTGGTTTCATGCAGAGCAGAGCCAGAACTAAGAATCACGAAAAAAAAAGAACCTCTTCTAGTCCAAAGACTGGTTAGGAGAAGAACCAGCCAGCAGACATGCTTCTGTAAACTTTACCTGAATTGTGTCCCATGCTCTACCAAAAAGCCAAGGTGGTATTTGCCTTTTTCAGGAATAAATTGTATCTTCATTTCAAGGCTTTTCTTGCAATAATTTGTAAATGTGAAAAATGCTTAAGGGTGTTAAATGCCCCCAGACAGTTCCAAGTTAGAAATGAATTTCCAGGGACACTTCGGGAACTATTTGTCTCCCTGTCTGAGTGAGTTTGTTGTTCCCCTGCTTCACATTAAGAGGAAATGACATATTCACTGACAAAAGATTGTATCTTTTAGTGGTACTTCTAAGCCCACAGAAGAACAGTTCCCCAGGAAGCAATTTAATTCCAGCTGGAAACAAAATGCATGTGTATGGCTATATACGAATATCTATTTTTAAATTAACCTTTCTTTTCAGTTTGCTATCAGTCACTAATCCAAAACATTCTAGATGGAACAAATTTGGTTCTGCAACACTGAGATCATTATAGTTCAGGATTTTAAAGAGTACCAGAAAGGTCCCTGGGCAGCCAGATCAAATTGTTCATATTGTTACATTGCTGGAAAGGGACCTGCAGAGGATTTACCTTGTACACTGTCCCGGATGATCACTCAGGTGTTAGCAGGGGCCACTGAGATTCTCTCAGTAGGTAGCCAAGATGAATCTACCCTGTTGAAAGGATGAGGGAATTCAGCAGTAAAGCTGTATTTGCCTGTAGCTGTTCTCTTCAGTGCTGAAGGGAGTACTGGAATAACTAATTTATGAGCATGAGAAGCAAAATCTCTGTATCTACACACACAGCTGCTGGTTTTTATCCTTTCTGTTTTTCTCCAAAGTAAATGTTATAGATACATATTATATTATTGGCTTTTCGCAAATATTAAAATGAATGTTATATGTATAATGTTGGAAAACTTTGCTGTATTTCTAGAGTTTCTTTTATTTCTGTTATTGATAGAACTTAGAAATAGTGATGTAATACACATATACATATATTTTAGGCTGTAGTATGGTATTAAAATAAAGACTGCTTTAGTTCATATAACCCAGAGACTAAAAAGATAGTCAGAAACACCACCGTCATTCTTAGATTATCTTATCCAGATGAAGCCAGCAGTGACTGGAGCTCCAAGGGAAGAATTTATTGAACCTCTGTTATCAGGGAGTGTGAGACTCAATGGAGCCAAGAGGATTGATCTACTGGGGAGGGGTGAGTTGAAGCTAAACAAAGGAACATCTAATGCTTTAGAGGAATGTTTGAATCATGCATAAGCATTTATAAATATGCAAGAGATTTCTGTTTTTAAGGGACAATCCTTTGTTAGTAAGGCTTGCTCTTGGCGGAATGTTGAAGCACTCAGCCGTGTTTGTTCATTTTGCTTTATTTCTGTCTCCTAATTGTCTTTCTATTAAACTTTTTAAATTTTATATAAAAAAGTGAACCTCATTTTTCACAGTAGATGAGATTATTGCTGCATAAAGGCTTTATTTTCTCTTACATACAAGGTTCTAAATTCAGAATAATAAGACAGAAATAAGAGCAAATAATCCTGATGGCCCAGTGGCAAAAGAAATCAGAGACATAGGAGGAATTTTGTTTAACTTTTCTTAAACTAGAGTCTAAATCCATTATCACTCTTCCTATGAAACTTCTTAATATCAGACCAATTCCCTCAAAACACCTATTTTCTGCAGAGTGCTTTTAATCCAGATCTTCAGATTCAGTAATAAATTTATTGAGTAAAAGGAGACTGCAGGCAGTATTTCTGCAGTCAGTATTCAGAGTGCACTTGATTGCATTAGTACTTGTATATGGTGTGTTACATAAGCAGGAAATGATTAAGACCGGTTGAACTGTAACAACTGTTCTTGCCAGTAATAACAGCCACCATTATGCATGTGAAATGCAATCAGCCACTGTGCTTCAGGGTGTCAGCTGATGGCTTCTGCTGCTGAAGGTGTGCAGGGGAGGGTCAGAAAGCAATTCCCTTTCTTTATGTATTGCCATAACTCAGTGGTTGAAGAAAGGTGGACATGATTAATGGCTGGCCTTACAGAGATTAGCACACATTGCTCAGATCCAGGTTGTTTTCCTTGGTGCTTTGTATGTGTGACTAGTACCTACTAAGGACTTCCTTCTCTCTGTGCTTGCTGTGTCCTAAAGCATATTTCAGAAAACTGGGGCTGTCTCTGACAGGCAGCCAGACCTTGTTTGTAGTATGCTACAAAATTCAGTGAATTAATAACAAAGGGTAACTGTTCATCTGGCAGAATTATGGAAGAAACTGGGCCAAGATGAATGTCAATATAGCCTTCAGTAAGCAGTTTCTCTTCCCTGAGCTGTCAGAAAAGTAATTGTGTCTCTGATTACCCATTTTTTCCCACAGCACCTACTGGGAGCATCCTAAGTGTGTATTCTCTCTTCCTATAAGGATAATGCTTGTAATAATGTCCTGCAGGTCCACATGCCCACCCTGCCACCCACCTACTCCTCCAGGAGCTGTCTAAGACAGGTCAGTCAGCATTTTTATTTCTCTGTGGATCATGACGATAGACACAGTCCTACTTTAACATACACCAGCACCAAGAGAGCTTCCACAGCCTAACTCCAACTTTACACCAGAAAAAGAGTGAGCAGATTCAGGCCAAGCAACTGTCTGTAAATGATTAGAAGCAAATGGGATTTGGCAAATACGGAGTTGGCAGGAGGCATTAGAGAGCAGTGCTTCATCAGTAGGTTCCCCATGGCGCTCTGAAGGGTCATTGTATGTACTGGCAGAATTCTCATGTTTTCTTGCTTCCTCCTTCCCACAGGCATTTTGGGGAGGAAGATTATTCTTTTCCATATAATCACTTCTCCCCTCCCTCTCCCCACAGTGCACTCCTCCTTCACAGGTCTGTTTATCATGCTGAGCCATGATGCAGGGTTTTTCTGTACTGTTTCTCCTCTGCCCCCCTTTCTCTCCTTACATAAATTTTTGTTGCAGAAGCAGAGCCTCGAGAGATTTTTGATCAGTGAACATTCAGGGTTTCATTAATTGCTTCTGCATTTAATAGGATGCCAGCAAGGAACTAAGTGAATGCTAATGGAGTGCTGAAAGAGAAGGTCCTGCTTCAGGTTTATCCTCACAGATATCTCAGGCACTGACAGGAGGAGTCTATAATTCACTACTTTGAAAGAGGCATCTTCCTTTACTGAAAGAAAGAGGTATATGCTCAGGAAGCTATGGAGGCTGGGGTGATTTGGCCTTTTTTGGCCATTTTCTTTAAATTGTTAACGGATCTAAGCAAATTTTTCTGGCTATATAGGCAAAGGCATTTGTCATATTGGGGGTGTATTGTGCATCTGGAGACTATCAGATCAGACACATAACCAGGGATTTGAACTATGCCTAAATTTCTGTATTCCATACATCTTAGGAGTTAGAAGTATTTAGAGGTATAAGTTCTTTCAGAAAAAATATTAGCCATCAGTGTTTTGGTGAAATTTTAATAATTTGTTTCAGAGCTTTGTTAAATTATTGATGGTTGTGGCTGTTTTTTTAACATTAGCAGAAATAAAGTTTTCTGTGAAGAGTGAGATAAGGGTCGATAAGAGGAATTAAGTGTATAGGGAAAAAAGCCAGAAAAGCAACATTCAGGCTTCAGAATGAGTACTCTTCAGGCTACTGTAGAAGAGAGGAATATGACAGCATAAAATGATGTTTAATTTTAAAAAGCTGAAACAGCTTCAAGAAGGCACCAGGATTTTTCTGCCATGGGATATGTAGTTCCTCAAGACAGAAAGACAGACCACCATAGAGCCATGGGTATTTCAGTCTGATAGTAGACACACAGGCATGGCACACAGTCCCCACACCAGTCAAAAGATTTCCGTGGCTGGGATGCAGCTCTCCATATTCCTTCTCAGCTCCCTGAAGCCTGGCTTTGCTGGCTGAGGTTGTCTTGGGTCAGGATCTTGCAGGTGGAGTTGTGCATACCAGACCTGACTGCCAAATACATTTGTTTTACAGTTCTTCTGGGCTGGAAGTGTATAAGTTATCAGTAGGTGTAAGTGTGAACATGCATTTATCTCTTCTAAGAAAATTCAAGGGATTGTCAATCAATCTTTGAGGAGTTTACCTTGTTCATATATTAAAGTGTCTGGTGAAATATCAGTCTGATTCTGCATGCTTCAGCTGGAGATGACAAGTTCATTCCTAATGAACTGATTACTTAGTTTAGCATTAAACTGCTACATTTAATGGCCTTCAACCCTCATAAACATATTTAACAACTAAAGGGATTATAGCTGCCAGGTTTGCTGTGTCATTACTATAAATTAATCTAAGAATTTAGTCAAAGATACCACCAGAAGCAAAATAACAATGAGGTGTTGAAATGATAAGTACTTAGAGCAAAAAAAAAAAAACTTTTGTATTGAGAGTTCATTTTCAAGAAGGTTTGTTGTAAGCAAATGTAAAGGACATAGGTGTAATATTTCCCCCACGTACATATGCAAAATTATATACTGTGCTTGGAAAATTTTATCACATTTTCTGATGGCTTTTTTCAAATTTTCAAACATCTTGTTTCAAAGTCGGGAATGAGGGGCAAACTGGTAAGGTTCTTTGAAATCAATGGTAAAAATTACACAGACCCTGGGAATTTCAAACCTTAGTGTTGATTTTACACCTCTAGGGAAAAAAAAAAAGAAAAGAAAAAAAATATTCTTCAATTTCCATCCATTGAAATCTCCACAAACCAAACTTTATCTAGGGCTGTCGAGGCTACACCTTCCATGAGTGGCTGTGTTTTCACAGGAATCGAGTGCACACGGCTGCCCATCTTAACATTCTGAACATCAGGTCTGTGATCTCAGCTGTTGCAATTGTGTTTCCTGATCTCTCAAATGTCAGAACTACATCTTCACCAACTATTCATATAGCCCAGTAAAGGTGTATTTAGGGCACACTTTTCCCTCCCTTCTGGAGCTCTACTGTCTTCTACCTTACATGATACAACACTAGATTTTACCAAAGGGAGGGGTAGGAAGTGAAAAGTATAGAAAAGGACTTAACCTTCAATTCCTACTAGGTGCCATGGCTATTCGTCCCACATCCAATCTACATTGCCATCCTCCATTATTCTCCTTTTACCCTTCAAGACATGAGTTATAGCAATGAAAATTAATTGTTACAGGCATTTCTCAGTTTCTGGGACAATTTGCTTTCGGTTTTTCCCCTTTCAGTTTATATAAATTTATTGATCCAGGTCACAGATTCATTGTTCTTAGTTGTAGACAGAAGATGTCAGCATTTCTAGAAACTGAATCACCAAATGTCATGCTGAATGACCAGAAAATGTTAAAACAACTGTGAGCACTCACACAAATCTTTGTTAGGAAAGTTGCTGAGCAGCACCTATGAACTTATTGGCACAGACATGTAATTCACCATCTTAGACTCAGGTGTCCAGAACATTATTTACATCTAACTAAGCAACCACATGCAGTCTTTTTGAAACTTATGATTTCATTCAGAAGGTTACTGGGGAAGATAAGTAACTCTTAATGCAGTTATCTACTGAATTAGAAGCTCTTCTGTAAGTTTCATCATCTATCATCAAATCCCACTGATAAAGTTGTTTTCCTGTTAGCACCTGGCACAATGAAGTGACTGTTTTTTTCACATATCATTGCTCTTTATTGCCTTTTCCATCCAACCTCCCTTTCTAATGTCCTTGTGTCCATGTTATGTGTTTATCTCCGTGAGCTAATAAACTGAATCTTACCTTAGGCAACAAAGTTTCTTTGTGAACAGTTTTATTTGTGAAAGAGTTAATGCGAATTAAATATTAATTTCTCCGTGTCCATTAGGACTGATCTGAATCTTAATGAACATTGGAGAGTTAACAGATGCTTCATTGATGTGTATTGTACTTGTCCCTTTCAATGACTAATGTATAAATTGTAGAAAATAAATGGAAAAGAATCAAAGTAGAAATATGGATCAGCAAAAGAAGTTGTGTTGCTTGGTAACATGGACCATGTACCTGCCAGATGTTGATCAACCCCATGCTTTGTGTGGCATTTGAGTCAGAAGATAACTATTATCAGGGGGTCTCATATCAGGCTGTTGCATGAGCTGGCTAAATGACTAGAAACAGATGTTACTGGCTCCTACATCCTACTCTCTTGAGCCATTCCCTCCAGAAAGCTCCATTTCTGCAGAGTATGATTATTCCTTATTTCAACTGTGTTATACATACCATTAATCTTCCTTCATTTCCTAGTTATTGCTGTCACCTCCTTCTGTAGCTGGAAGGGACTTAGAACTGACAAACAAGAAAACTCCTGTCCTGTAATCTGCTGACAGTACAGCATATCTGTTTCTTCCACTCCAGCTTCAGGCACTGTGCTTCCTCATAAACATCAACTGAGGAAGATTAAGACTAATAAATTCCCTCCTAACGCATCAGATAGGAAGTGGTGGAAGAAAGAAAAATTTATACACATAGATGTAGATACTGTTGGTAGTGGAAGTAGTTTCTTATATGTTGAGTTGCTGAGTGCATTTTTAACCTTGTCTCATGGATTCATGAAGACATTATTGAATGTTAGTTGAAGTTTTCAAAGGGATGCTAAATCAGGGTCTAGAAGTTGTGAGCACCTAAGATAGGTGGCAGAAGCTGGAAACTTTCATTCAACCTCTAACTGTACTTTTATTTTCTCCAGATATTCCCAACAGATGTTAATATATCATAAATAAAAATCAGTAATCATCTGGGAGATGGGAATACTAATATTATGCTGTATGTCACAAAAAGTTGGCTGAAAGTAGGTAGTGAGAGATTAAGACAAGGTGCTCTAAGGCTGACCAGGAAGCTGTTGAAAGAAGCAAAAAATTAGACACATCTTGTTTGATACAATTCAGAGAGGGGTACAGAGGTCAACAGTCACAGCAAGACCCATCAAAGAGAATCTGTCAGTGTGACCTGGAGCAGAAAAAAGCATTTCTGTGTTTTATAAACTGAAAGGGATTTTTTTTTCTGCTCTTGGCATACATTACTTCACCGTTCCCTGCCCTTTATATGTGTGTGCTGATCCAGCTTCTCCTGAAATGTACGTCATTGTCCAGGGGTTTATCCGCATCTGTGGTTACTGAGAGTAGTTGCTACTAATTTAGGCAATGCATTCCAAGAGGTTCCCTGGGTTTCAGTAGGGAAAGTACAGGAAAAAAATCAACACATTGGTAGCTGTTCTGTTAAATTATGTTTTCTTAAAGAAAGATGCTGGCTGCTTCCTTTATATGAAAAAAATATAACATTGAAGCAAAAATAATCCTGTGATTAATTTTAGAAAACATATCTGTAGTTGTTTTTTAAGTTTTTTCACCTCCCTTTATTTTTCTGTGTTTCTCTGTGTGTATCATCTCTCACCTGAGAGCACAGCAGATAACAGCTCAGTGATACCTTATTGATGTACAAGGGATTGTCATCACTGTCTAGGCAATATGCACTTTTCCATGTGCTT